TCTATTAGTCAACTTATCATGAAAAGAGGTGTTCCGCAAGGTTCGTATTTAAGACCATTGTTGTTCTCACTTTTTTGTAATGACCTCCTAAATTATCAGGATGATAACAGTTAGTGAAGTCAACAGAATATTATATATACAACGTGTTGGATCATTTCATTACTGTTGGGACAGTTTACATGACAAGTCTTATTTTGCCTTTTTCACTGTCAGGTAATGTTCCTGAAGGTTCTGACAGTGGGTTGAGACATCAATAATCCTAAACTAAAGTCAGCTATAAACAGGAGCTATAAAGCTCACTGCCGAAGCCCTCAGCCAACTTTGCAGTGGGTCTTTCCAAGCAGATCTATTGCTGGTCGTGGCGTTCTGCCACGGAGGAATTTTTGCTGACAAGGGCCATAGAGTACTGTGGAGAGGTGTCATGAGGGGATCCCAAATTCTGTTTCTATATCAAAACAAAGACGGGACACATGGCATCCCGCCGGTTACCAAGGAAAGGTAGAACAGCTTCCACTTGGGGAGGTCATGAAAACTTTTCATCGGGCTAAGAGTTAAATTTGTTTTTCATCTAGATGTTCAGTGATTCTGAAAATCCCCCAAAATATTTTACAACATCGATCAATGACATTTAAAAACGGATTACCTCTCATGTAGTAGTATAAGCTAGTAGAGGCGTAATGTCCGAACTTGAGACTGCTGAGGACAGCGAGTAACACATCTTATTTACATTCATCATATTCACATTCATTACAACTTGTATGAGGCCAATAAATTCTTCATTTCTCTTTAAAAACAGGATTCTCTGTTGCAGACTGGGGTCAGATCATGATGGTGCTTTTGTATACAAGTGTATTTAATGTTACATGGAAACAAAAACCATGTTACCCTTTTCCTTTTTCTAGTAGTACAACGTCTGGCAGCTGTCATTCATTGACCTACTACTGTTCCCACTTGATACTCTAAACCAACATGCACTTTTTGTGACCCTGGCACTGGCTCCCGCTGAAGGATAATTCAATGACAACAATAATAGCCGAGTGAGCACACACAGTGAAAACATTGATTTATGGATTAACTAATCCAGAGCTTCTCCTTATTTAGCAACTCAGCAACACTCTCTGTTTTAATATCATCAACCTTTGACATCAGGATTTTTCCATTTTATATTTTACAGCGAGGTTTATTTTTATTCTAATAATCTAATTTATACAAGTAGGTTTGTAATTAAATGGAAGTTGTTTGTTTGCCTGTGCAGTAAAACACTTTTTGGGATCATACAGTACATTGCACAACACCACAAAACAGAGCCAGACACGATGTGTAAAATGTCAAATATTTTCTTCACCGGTATTATTTGCCATCTTCTCTGTATCATGCGCCTCCTCCTTTGTGTTGCTCTGCCACATTGTGTAATTCAATGTAATGTGATGCAACTGTTTACCTGTAATCGTTGTTCGAGGTCTGGGAAAGTCTTAGCAAGGTCCTCCACATCTTTTACATCTGTTGAAACAGAACACATGATTTAGTTTGGACGGATTATTTTAAAACAAATCATATTAAGAATGTCATTTCATATATTTTGAATAGACTATTAAACAGATAGATTAGATTAAAACCAATTTATTTAAGCAATCAGGGACAATTAAACTGCAGAAACTCAAAAGTTATGAGTTTAACTGCAACTGTTGAAGGACAATATGAATATGAGTTACAGAATGAAGTTTGTCTTTAATGAAGATATCTTTAGCTGGAAGTTGATTTTCTTATAGAATGCTGATGACAGTCATAAAAGAAGGAATTCATTCCTGTCCACAGTTGTCTGACATCACTTGCTAAATCAACATTCTGCACAACGTCTTCTCAGTGATTTGCTCTAAGCCTTTTGATTTACAGCCAAGTGACTTGTTTTACAGGCAGTCACTTTAATGCCTGTCTCCCCCTCATAAAATATCCCAAAATGAAACCCTATAGGGGCCTCTTATATGACACAACAACATAGCAACACAGTGCTGCACTTATAAATGAGCCGTGTCCTCTTGCTGAACGGCAGTAATGAGCTGTCACACTGAAAGACACGCAGGGAGAGAATACTGCGCAGACAGATAAACACAGTGGGCAGAGGCAACAGACAGACCAGACGTATGGACAGAAAAGGGTTTCAGACAGACACACTGACAGCCAGACAGACAGAAACAGACAGGTTGTCTGCACCGGCCACCTCCTCGCCAGTAATGCCCCCCCGGGACGCAGAACACGTGGAGAATCCTGGGGTGATGCAACTTTCTAAAAGCAGGAGCATTAGCCGGCCCGCCTGCAGCCATGGGGCCAATTATGATGTAGAATAAATACAGTTCCCAAGCCTCGGATTGACACAGTGTGGGGTTATAACTATGCCCGGCATGAAGTCATAGAGGGACTAGAGGATGAGCCCCAGATGGTGCAACAGGTCTAAGTCTGCCTGCTGAGAACATGGGTCCAGAGAGTCAACAACATGATCGTCTGGGGAATGAAGTTTGACTCTGGAGGTTGGGGTCGCATTGTGCCTGAACTCTTTTTGGAAAAACTAAAATGAGGGATGTCACAAACTGAAGCAGGCCCTCTGCAGTGCATAAGATTTAGCCACATTCAAAATGGAGCACGAAGAGAAACATAAGCAAGATGAAACTAAAGGCTAATTCATGCTCTTCAGAAAGATACAGATGAGAGAGACTGAGTGGAGCAATACCATCGAAAAACGTGTCGACTTAAAGGACACATGTGTGAGCAGGGACATCTCTCTTAAGGCAGCATAAATGAGCCTTAAAGGAAAACCCCTGTGTAGTGAATGAGGATGTTAAAGAGGGATTTAGAAACAAATTAACATCAATATAATTGATTAAGGAATTCAATGAGGAGCGCGTGGAAAATAAAAGCAGAACTTCACTTGTAGCTCAGCGTATATCCGTCCTTCATCTCACTTCCTGGGAGACAGACAAGGGGGATCAAGGATGGGTGGAGCAGGACTGTAAGTGTTAACTGCTTATAAATATAGGCCAGTGTTCTAAAAGCTGAACAGTGAATCAGGCAGCGGGACACTGTTAGTATTAGCGGGGAAACCTGACTCTGTCATTGCAGGGCTGCAGCTGCTGTCCCAGTGCCTGGCCCCACTGCAGTAAAACCACCTATAGGGACCAAGGACCTCTGGGTATGATGAGAGCGTGTGGGACGGCATGAATCATGCATATTTTTTGACTGACCTAATAATTGATTAATCCACGTCAGAGTAACATCTGTGCGATTGCTCGTGACTGTGCACAGCTGCAAAACATGTGTGTGTGGTTCGTTTTTTAATGTGATGTGGTCCAACAGAAATAGAGGGAGCACCTGTTAGAGCTACAGCACAGGAGAATGAACACAGTTAACGTGTATGAGGGGAAAGGGGTAGTGGGGGTGGGGGGGTGGGGGGGGTGGGGGGGGGTGACTGGTGTGTTTTGATGGGAAGAATGTCGTGTATGTGTTCGACACATAGTGGAAACATAGAGAGAGCACAGCTTCACTCTGCGTCAGGTGTGACATGATCAATTAATAAGGGACTAAACCTTCCTTGTTTTTGAGATGCAGCATGTGTGTGTGTGTGTGTGTGTGTGTGTGTGTGTGTTTACCTGACGTCTCATCAAGGCTGAAGGCGATTCTAACTTCAGATTTATCGGGAGACACTCTTCTGGTTGAGGTGATCATTTATCCCTTCATGAGGCCACAGGCACAAAACAGAGCTGTTAGCACAATCAAAGGGATCTCATGAAAACCGGTGATGATGTAGCAACAGCACGATTAGAGGAGAGAGATCAAGAGATCTTCGGTGAAAATTGCTGTTTCCAGCGTCTTCAACGTGATAGTTCTTCTGATTTAGGTGATCGTACGTTTTTGGGTTTGGACATAACAAACGATTTTTCACTTTTTAATCAAAATTTACAGACGAAACTCATCAATCAATGAATGGTGAATCAAATAAAAACAACACACACACATACGCACACACCGTAGTCCTGTCTTGAAGACTTCAGAGGACATTACATTGAGACTTACTGTAACCATAACCTAAACTAAACCTAACTCTTACCCTAACTTTAACTTAAAACTAAATTAACCAAACCTAACCTTGAACTCAAGTCCCCCTTTACGTGACTGTGTACACACACAGCAGTTCCATCATGCACTTGGAGTTGCAGGGGGATTAAATAATTAGGGAGCTTTGACAGACTGGCTCTGGGGTCTGGATTCTGGACGCCTCTCTTCCAGTAAAGGTACAAGCTTTTTATATCAGGGCATTTGTCTGCTTTAACCCTGGTAAACCCTCCGTCTCACACAGCAGACCTCAGTGACCTTCCACACCAGCAAACACACACTTTCCTTATTGTTGATGTTGGAAAAAACGTTAAAATATGAGTTTATGAAGCTGTACTGACTTAACAAAGTGTGTTGTAACAACATAAAGTATACTATCAGAGTGGAAGAGAATAATAGTGCTCAGAGAGTAAGCATATAATTCACATTATGATGGAGAGTGTTCCATCCAGTGCGCACATGGATGAGAAGGACCCATTTGGCCCAACAGGTCACTGTTACCTGAAGCAGCTGTGAACCCGGACCAGGAAATTCAGAGTAGTTTTGAACCATGAAGCAGTTTTACGTCCTCAGTGTTGTTGTTTGATTCCCAGTGGAACCACTTCAGAAAAAAAAAAACGTCTCTCGGTCGTTGCGCCTTTACGCAAATCCAGCACAAGTTTGTCGTCCAGGAGCTGACCTCCACTCCCCCGTGGAGACCCCAACTCTACTGTTCTGTGTTCAGAAGTGTTCCCACCGTTAAGTTAAAGCGTCCAACACACTGGTGTCACTCAGGGGGGACACTCCAGCAGCTCAGGTTTTGCTCTCCAGACGGACTGGTGCAGCCACGCGGCGAGAGGCAACACAACAGGGCGCAGGCGGTGGAGGAATGCCGTCCGCTGTTCCCCTGCGGCGGCCCGGCTCCAATTAAATGTCTCAGATGACATGACTTTAGCCCGCAAACATGCCCATCGCCCCGGCACAGGATTTGCAATAGCTGTGCAATGAGGCAGTTGCTCAGAATGAACGTCTCACACCATAATAGCTCTGGAGGAAGAAAATAGATAACTCAGTGTGTGTGTGTGTGTCTTGTTGGGCAGGTGACACTGTGGTAAAGTGGGACTACTCCACTGAATTCACATGGAAGTTAATGTAAATATATTAATCAGCAAAAGAACATGCACACTGCAGCCTCTCCACACATGCATGACCCCCTGCAAGGTTTCCCTTTAACATGTGTACATCAAAGCTTGCAGTTTAAATATACATAATACACTATATTACTTACAATTTATAGCCGACCAGTAAAAATATGTGCCTCAAACTGCAATGCAGTGGCTACACTGTGGATTGTCAAGTTTTTTTTTACATCAGTAGAATTTCAAAACAGCAAATTTCTCCATGGTTGGGGCGAATAAAGGATTCTTTTATCTTTTTATCTTATTGTTTGTGGGTTGGAACAACAAATCTCAAAGTGCTTAATCTAAATAAAGCATATTAACTTTGCTTTTTGGTATTTTACTTTTCTAACCCTAACCCCAGATACCTGGTTCTTATTGGAGAGCATTTCAACCCATGTCCAATTAAACCATCAAAATGTTCACATAATCTCAATTTGAAAACTGGCCTCAAAACGCTGCCTTCCATCTCTGTTTATGAGCTGAGATGAATGTTTATGAGCAGTGTTTATAATGGGCCTCCACTGCATCATAATGATGCTAAACTGACCTTAAGCCTGCGAGGATGGTTTTAAAAGAAAGAGAAGCGTCGTAAATCAGGACCCTGCATGTCTGAGTTACTGCTCAGGGTTGTTTTTTATGTTCTGATTTACTGCTGGGATCTGCTGCTTCATATCCATGAGGCCACTTCACCTGCGCGCCAGCAGATGACAGCATTCCCCTTGAATTATTTACTGCCGGGCTCTCAGGTGGCAGGAGAAGAAGGGGAGAAAGAGAAACACAGAGAGAGAGAGAAATAAATTACACTCTGCACTTCCAAGAGTCCTCCTCCTCCTCGTTTGTCTTCATTGACAGGCTGTTGACACAGACCTGGCTTATCAGCCCCAGAGAGACTGTTCATCTCATTGTGATGGATGGGACACACTCAAATGTCTGCCACTCTTTAATGCTGGAGTCATAGTCTGGATTTGATTCCTCTGTGCTCGTATTTACAGTTGAGAGACGTGAACAGGACTTGAAAGGTCTGAGGGATTTACCTGTGACGTCTGAGATGCACGGAGAGGAATTCTACTGATTCCACAAAGAAACATTCAGATGTTTTCTACTGCACGATGTATTTCTGATGCGGCTGGGTTTGTGCAACAAGGTGGTCAGAATCTATCCCGTCTAAATTTAGCTCTTCACTGCTTTCCTGACCTTTCGTCCACATCAGTAATGCTCCATTTTAGCAGAGTAAAGATGTCAACAACAGACTCCCTCAGCTGCCGCTCATCTTCTCTGGATTCTTCCTCGTCAACCTTCTTTTTCTCCATCTCCTCCAGAAGTGAATAAGTATGGATCATAGCCTCTGATCTTCTTACCGGCGGAGAGCAAACAGACAGATGCCACTATCCCTTTATCTCTGCCCACTTCTCCTTCACCTCCGCCAAGGTTGCAGACTCCTGTGTTTCGAGAAAACTGAGACAGATGAATCACACAAGGACGTGAACATAGGTGAAGACAAATATAGTTCTGCAGCAGCGTGGTGCTCAGGTGAGGTCCTCTCAGGTTAGGAAGAAGCTGAGAGTCCTGCTCGGCTGTGCAGGAAGCCAAGGTCGAGTTGTAATCCATGGCCTCATTCATGACGGATTAGATAATGATAAAAAAAAAAAAGAAAATACTGCCTTTGGTTTTGATTAAGAATTATGGGGTTAGGAGATTAGAGACAACCAAACGCTATTACATGGGACTGAGCCCAATCCCAGAATTAATCTGAATACCAAAAAGAGAAAACTCATTACACAAGGAGATTAAGAAAAGCTTGGTCCAATTCTCTCAGGATGCACACAAACCGCTGCGCACAATCCACCGGGAGAAATGTCACAACCAAACCTATGACTCCAGACATTTAGAAAGTATTTACATGTTTTATTGCTCGTCCCCGTTTGAAATGTCACTGCGTGAGCCGGTAAGAGAAAAGAATCAGAGGTCAGGTACATTATTGATGATTCGTATCACGATCTGATGTTTAAGGTGCTTCATTGACATTTAGTTTGCTTTCTCTTTCTCTCTACAGTTTACAGATACCAGTTTCTGATGAGATTAACTCACCACGAAACTCAGGGAGGGACCAGTAACGGATCTAGGATTTTTCTGAATCAGGGGCCATAAAGGGGGCCACAAATTACACAGTCATTCCTTGTTTTCTGTTGGCATTGTAGCTTTGAGCGAAGCCACACATCATTTAGTTTATTTAAAATTAATTCCAGCTCATTGTGAACCTCAAAAAACCTTAAAATGACTTAGATTTAAATGATTAACAAATGTTATATCTGTCGTTAAAGAAGGTGACCACTGATCGGACAGGGGTGCTTCATGGGCCTTTTAGATTTCAGATGGGGCCAGTGCCTCTTAGCTTGGATCCTCCCCTGAGAAGTAACCATTACATTTTGGTTTTAAATCCAGATCCGGAATTTTCTTTCTTGCACTCTTGCAAAAATGTTCAGACTCATTTAGGGAACCGATATCTCTGAGTGTATGGAGTTCAGTGCAGCTTGATTTAATGTAAGGGCACAGACGGGCCTTTGAGACAGCATGCACTTTACTTGGTGCCAAAAATGTGACTGGGCTTCAAAATGCTTTCCCAAAAGGAACACATGCTCCACGTCCAGTCCACTGACGGGGCAAGTGAAGAATCGAGGGATAAAAAAGAGGAGAGGATCCCAGAGAGTGATGAGATGATGAGGAGGAGAAGAGATTACACAAGTTGGGTAAGAGGTGGTAGAGTGTCAGCGAGCGTCTTACGCTCTTGATTTCATTATTTTCCCTTGAGGTCAGGTTCAGTGGACAAAAACAAACCTGGGGAAAATGAAGGCAAACTTTACTACTTTACTGAACACAGTGGATCTGATGTCAATGAAAACATTAACGTTGTTACAACCGTTCGCTTGTTTTGCTGGAAGCTGATGTCAACTTGATGTGTTTGTGGGCGCTGGAGCGTCAGAGCTGATTGTTCTGCTGCAGGTCCTGATGAGTGGCGTTCACTTCAGAGCATCGTGTGTGTGTGTGTGTGTGTGAGAGTGAGTCAGACGGCGATGATTGCCATCGATGCTTTTTGCATTCCTGCAGCACACAGCTAATTGTGCCGAGAGCGTTTTCATTCCTCCTTCTGATTACTTGCGCCACAGAGGTGAAAGTGCTGCACACGCCGCTGTCAGATGAAAGAGGCTCGTGGTTTAAATGTGTTTGTTTGAGATTGAGTTTAAAACTCAGCCAAACAAGTTCAATTAAGTTTTCATCTAAATCTTAAAGTTTCTTATGGATATGAAAAACTTACTTTCCTCTGGCTTCCTCTCCCACAGTGAATCCAATTAAAAGACGAACATATAACCACCTCCGCACTCCCTCCTGCAGGCCCCCCCCTCCTCTGGTGCCAACCTCCTGTCAGCTCCACTCAGGACCAAGCACCAGACCCGGGGCAAAAGAGCTTCGTCCTTAGCTGCCAACAGAGCTCCTTGTGGAACTGTCTCCCCAAACACCGACCTGTCATCAGTCCCTTTAACATTGTGAGACGTGGCGTTTTACAGCATTTTCATTGATTTCATGGAGCTTGATGAAAACATTCAGGCACGTTTACGGGAACGATATCTTTGAATGTGGGACGTTTGGGGCAGATCCAAATAAAAATCAGGATCTGGGGAATTTAAATGTGGTTTCATAAGGAGACTGCGGGGCCTTGTTTGTCTGCTATTAGCAGGATCACACAAAAATGGATTTCCACAAAACCTGGTGGAAGGATGCGGTGTGGGTCAGGGAGGAACACGTTAAATATGGCTGCAGGGGCAGATGCAGGATTTTGGGTTTCTTTATCATTCGGAGTTGGGGCATATCTGGACATTTTAATCAATTACCCAAGTAATAATTCATGGAGCAAGATAAAAATAATCCAGCATGTTGAGTGGACTGATATCTATGAGTCAGTGAAATTTGTGTTTTGGGCCTCATAGGTTTGTGCTCTCCTGAGTGTTAGTTTAACTATGTGATTAACACTGTGCGTTATATTTCTAGTTATATGTTTTTCTCTATTTTTAGTCATTGTTCAAAGCTTGAATGAATGGTTGTGTTATTGTGATTAGTTATTAGATGACTTCACTGAGCATGTGTTGTATTTACTGTTCATAATTCATCATAATCATAATCTGCTTTAAATCTGCAGGCACGTTGTTAAACATCCAAGAGATGAAAAACTCAGGCTTTCAAACTCAAAAACAGCAAACAGGAAAAAAATAATGAGTGGGAACGAGGAAATTGTGTTTTTTCTTTGACATCCTGAGAATTTTAAATGAAGTATTTCTTATTTTTTCATTTCCGTCTTCATGTGTCATCCTTTTTCTGAGCGCTTTATTTCTTGATCACAAGCTTTTAAATGCAGCTGTGTGTGTGTGTGTGTGTGTGTGTGTGTGTGTGTGTGTGTGTGGTTTGATGCCTGTGATGCTGGCGTTTGAAGTTTATAAAACAGCAGTTGTGTTCCTCACTGTCCTTAGACGTCCTTATCATTTTTTTCCACTGGCCAGAGTTTGGCCAGAGAGGACTCGCCTCCAAGCTACTTTTTTACCTGCCAGAGAACAAACGCACAACACACACACACACAC